GAGTCAAGAGGATCCTTGCGTGTTTGAGAACAGCCTGGGCTAAAAAGTGAGCTCAAGGCTAGCCTGAACTGCATAGCAAGACCCTGTCTCAAAAAAAAAAAAAAAAAAAAAAAAAAATCTAGTACACATTAAATCGATTAGTTAAATGAACAGTGTTTTTATACTGTCATGCCAGAAAGCCATGGCAGAAAGACCATCTGCATGGAGCAGAACATATTTAATTCCTTTGGCTGAGAATAAAATTGGATAAAATTATTTTATTCAAAATTCCAGCTAAAGGAAGAAACTGGGGTAAGATTGACATTACTGTTGCCAATATTGCAAAAACATTACCAAATTGGTTCTGTTTGCAATTGATGTGGAAGAATTCTGTCACTAATTTAAGTAGTTAACATTGATGTGTTACCGGAAAGGACTATGGCAGTCATGTAGAGACTTGTGTTGAAGTTGTGTGCCGAACTCACTTTGTATTCATAAGAAACAAAATCATAATGGGAGAAAATTTTAAAATATTCAATATTTTAACTTTTCATAAAGTGAGAGACTTCAAAGTATCAACAGAGGATATTGAAATGTATTGTCTTATTACTATGTAGGATCTGGTATCTTAATTTTCTGTACTTAAAGCTGTGTGAATTAGGAATATCTTTATAAATATATAGTTAACTAAAGGTTAGTGGTAACATGAGTAACTCAGTGGTATGATTCAACAATTAAGTTTTATTTTCTAGATTTAGTTTATTGTATCAAATTTATATATTACCTTATAATGGTAAATGCTCTAAAAAGAATATTTAAGCTACTGCAGTTCTAGTACTTCTCCCTCAACCCCAGAACATAACAGAACATTGTAACCTTACATCAACCTTGTGTGTAAGTCTTGCCTTATTAAACATTGTGCCTTATTTTGTTAAATCATTTTGTTGAAATCCAATTCTATATTTTGGAAAAGTAACAGTGTTTTCTTCTTAATTAACAAGAATTCAGATTTTAAAAAAGTATGTGAAATCCACATTTTATATTTGCCTGTTACTTGTTATATCATTGTTAATCTGTTTATTGCATTTGTTCAATACATGAATCTAAATTTTGAAAAAACCAGAGTTACAGACAAAGTTGTAGGAAATTAACAATGGCTGTTGTATTACTTATTGATATCTTCAAAGTGGTTTCTCAAGAAAACAAATAGAGGCATACAAGATTGATGAAACAAGGAATCATTAACTGTTCCTTTCTGTAGAGCAATAGAAGACAGTAGTACAACTATGTTAGCTATCCTGTATATACACACTTAGAAAATTTCCCCTTCTTTCCCTTCTCCTTTCCCACACCCCAGTTTAGGCAACACTGTTAAAGAAATTCATTTACTAAATTTTTACCTGGAGTTCAAATGTAAATATGTGTGTGTGCTGTCTTTATCCAGAAGCCCATTTCTTGTAGCAAACAGCAGTCTGTGATCAATGTTTAGCATCCTGTGGCCAGCTGTAGTTGTGTGTATCCATAGGTAAAATGCATCTTCATACAGAGTCAGCTGTAGCCATTCACTATGAGGAAACTATGGCATCTGTGGAAGAAAGATTTGTTTGATTTTTGTTTGTTTGCTTCTTTGTTTTGCTAATTAATGCTATAGTTGAGTTGGATACACCTTTTGCTACTGACCTCTAAGATCAGGCGTAATTTGGATATTTTCTGACTCTAAGGCCTGCTACTGTATATTTTACAATATATTTTCTGGCTATGTTAGCAGATATTTCCATATTTTGTTCAATTTTTTTCTTTCCTTGTTGCTGTTTCTCTATAACACCACACAAGGAGTATGCGAGTGAGTCATGCATTTTGGTGTTAAATTCTTCCTGATTTTCAAATACAGTATAGCAAATAAGGATGTCAGCCAGAGAAAGGAGAGAACTTGGTGAACAATTCAGTCACCTGTCAGATGTCAGACATAAAATTAAAATAAGGTATGAATAATCAGTAAGTCAAACAGAAATAAATACAATTACCTTTTCACAAAAGACCAGCAGTTGTACATCTACTGATGACTTGCTCAGATTAATCAACGCGGATGAGAACTCTGTCTTCCCAATTTATCTACCAGTCACAATCCACCAGCTATCTTGAAGTGGACATTTTTTATCTTATATTCTAGTTTTCTTTTTTTCTTCTTTTCTTGTTTTTGTTTCATTTTGGCTTTTTCTTGATCGTTTGTTCTTGTTTTCATATGGATATGAACATTATTTCTAGTTTTGTTGTTGTTCTCTTCTGTTCTGTTCTGTTCTTGTTTGTATTTCTTCCTGCTCTCTTTCTGTCATGTCTGTTTCACTAGTTTCCTAAGGTATGCATAATCTTCCTTTTTCCTCTAGTCTGGCTTCTAGTCTCTTCACTTCTTCTATTGCTCTATTTTCCCCCCAACTCCTTTTAAATTTTATTCCCTGAAGGTAAAAATCTCCATATGAAGGGCATATTTACTGTATACAATTTCCTGGTTTTTATACTTTGTTATATAACTACAAATATAGTTCATACAGTTACAGGTAGCAAATCAATACTTACCACAGTTTGTCATTTCCTAGGCTATGTTTGAAGCTGTCATTATTATTGATTGTACTACATTAGCCAAGGTGATATACTTGTTCTAATCAGTTGTTCTTCCTGGTGTACTAAAACTTAAATTGCCTGATGATCATAAACAATATTATAAGCCAGTGCCAAAGAACTAGGGGCTAAGACATATAGGTAACAACTTCTCATCTCCAATAAATTGAAGTGATAGGATCTTACAACAGACTCAAAATCAAAACCAAGCCTCACTTAGAAAACATCTTTGAGAAATAGTTATTTGTGAAGGGTTCTAAGTACTAGCAATAAAGTTACTTGCCATAAGTAATTTACAAGCATCAGCCCAGGATTAAACAAAAAAAAAATAGAAAATGAGAAGACATTTAAGCAAGATGCAACCCCAGACTTCCAGATCACCAAAGACAACCTCATGAGGCAATGAGCTGGAACAATTTGAAAACCACCCACCTGAACTCTCTGAAGTAGTAACAGCACAAGTAACAAAGCAGATGAATGAGGCTCTAGAGAAAATCAAATCAGAAATTCTTAGATGAACACAGAGATGGTGACCATAATGAAAGACTTGGAGAGTGAGTCTAGAGCACATACAGATAAAAAAATAGAAGGAGCTTAGTAAAATGATGGAAACTATGAATGGCCAACATAGGAATTCATGAGACAGATTCAAACAGATATCAAAGAGATTAAAAATTCCACTGAAAGGATACACATCAGAATAAGAAAATGTGGGCATAAAATATCAAATATAGAACAGGGGAGTGCAGTTAGCACTCATGAAAAAAAAGATTTAAAAGTAGCAAGGTACCACAAAAAATCAATCCAATATCTGCTGGATGATGCAAAAAAGAACAACATAAGATTGATCTGAGTCAACAAAAAAGCAAGAGATAGCGCAAACACCATAATAAACCTGTTCACAGAAGTCATGGCAGCAAACTTCCCTGGCAGGAAAAAAGAATTTGACATACAGATAAGTGAGACCTATTCAACTCCAATTAGCCATGACCAAAAAAAAACTGCATCAGCACATGTAACAGTCAAGATTCTAGAAATTCAGCACAAGAAGGGCATATTAAAAGCTGTTAGAGAAAATAAGCAAATCACCTATAAAGGAAAGCCCATCAGAATCACAACTGACTTCTCAACACAAACCCTCAAGTCAAGGAAAACTTGGAGTGAATTATTTCAGCCCCTAAAAGAAAATAAACTTTGACTCAAATTGACGCATCTTACAAAACTATCTTTCAAAATTAATGGAGAAATAAGATACTTCCATGACAAAGAACATCTGAGGAAATTTATGACCACCAAACCAGCACTCCAAAATGTTCTGAAGGACATTCTAGAAAGAGATAACAAGGACTACAACTCCATGAACCCCAACAGAAGGAATCCACAATGCAAGATAAACAATTAAATAGAGGGAGGAAGGGAACCAATAACAGTAAAATAACATGACAAGGATAAATCAATACCTATCAGTTTGTTATGGTTTGTGTCTGGGTGTCCCCCAAAAGCCTCATGCGGCCATGGGGCAGGCTTTTAGAGTTTGATTATGGGTGTGAGAGCTACACCCGCCCTGGGGTGGATAGTTTGTATATGTAAGGGAGAGGAAGAGGGTGCTTCTGGCTATTTTCCTCCCTTGTGTGTGTGCTTTTGCTTTGCTGTGTTCTGCCGCCATGAGCTGTAGCTCTCTGCCATGTGGCAGTCTGCCTTATAATCTGCCAAGTACGGACTGAAATCTCCACAAACTGTAAGTGAAATAAACCTTTCCTTAATTTTGGGCGTCAGGTATTTTGTCCCAGCAACAAGAGAAAAGTAACCAAGACACAGTTATAACAATCAACATTAATGCTCTCAATCACCAATCAAAAGAAACAAACTGGCAGCAGGGATCAAGAATCAAGCTCCAACAA